CTTCCTCCACTTCCTCCTCCGCCTCCTCCTCCTCCTCCTCCTCTCCTCCTCCTCCTCCTCCTCCTCCTCCTCCTCCTCTCCTCCTGCTCGTCTTCATCCTCGCCCTCCTCCTCCTCTTCCGCCCTCCTCCTCCTCCTCCTCCTCCTCCTCCTCCTCCTCCTCCTCCTCCTCCTCCTCCTCCTCCTCCTCCTCCTCCTCCTCCTCCTCCTCCTCCTCCCGCATCGGCCGCAGCTTCATTGACGAACCTCATGCTCTCCTCTCCCTCTTGTAAACATCAATCGAGCGTCCGCGCAGACTTTTTGGTTCAGCAGTTGACCCCACTCCCAGGCGCGCAGCGCGCATCAGGGCGGCGCCAGCGGCACCAGAAAGCTTATGCTTATGCCGTTGTGTTGTTCGATGCTCCCCCTCCTCTCCCTCCGACCGCCGCGGCTGATGCGACGAAGATGCAAAGAGCCCGCGAGCGAGCAGACACGATGAGGCACGACGATCCTTTCCAGCGCCAGCAGACCCAGGTCGAGTCACGGGTCAACTCTAACATCCTGGACCAAGGACCCCCCGCTACCGACCAAAAGGAACGTAAACGAACACAAAGAGTGGCTTTCAGAAATCCGCGTGGCTTTCCATAGAGGAACAAAAAGTGGCATAAACAGAAAGACTCGGAGGTCCGCGCGGATTTCTCGGATCGGCGCTGGACCCCTCTCCCTGGCGCGCGGAGCGCGCCAGGGGGCGGCGCCGGAGGCGCCGCCGGGGGGCCCCAGCGCCGATCCGAGAAATCCGCGCGGACCTCCGAGCTCTTATGTTTATGTCACTTTTTGTTCCCCTATTCCAGGGACGCCGCTGATCTCCCCCCCCACACACACCCTGCCGGCTGCCGGCACGTCTAACGCCGCGCCTGGCGCCAGGCGCGCGCAGGGGAGGGAATGGAAGGGGGGCCCACCACCGATCCGGGAAGTTCGAAGCGAGACCCCAGGGCTCATCCCCGCGTCGTCTGAAGGGGCCCAGGGACACACAAATAAATTCACACACACACACACACACACACACACACATCCCAGGATTCCCCATACTCTCCAATATTTTTGGGATGTTCGTCTTCCCCCCCACTTCCCATATTTCCCCATATTTTCTGGGGAATCGACGATGCATTGTGTCTGTGTGTTTTGTTCACGAACCATGATGAGTTCTACGTGTCAGATCGGAATCCACAATGAAATGGCGCATAAGTTCGATCCGCTGGTGCACCGAACTGCCGCCAACAGATGCCCCCCGCATGCCCCGCCTATCGGCAACAACGATCGGGAGCTGCCCGCGGCTGAGGGGCATCTGTTTTGGGCGGTTCGGTGCAAAAACCGATCGAACTCTCTCACACACACACACACACACTGGGGCACACACCCTCTTTGCGGGATCCCGATAAGACCATGGTGTCGCTGTTGCATATCGGTCTGCGGCGGTCTTCGAATGTACTCGGCGGCCGTTGGCGGCCCTGGATGGTCTTCGGCGATCTCTGGCGGTCTTCCACACAAAAGCTGGGTGGTCGCGGTCATCGAGGGGTCCATGAACGAATACCGAATCGACTGACTGCGAGCACCAGCACAGCCGGACAACTCAAGACGGACGAGCACAGCTGCCTGGTTTGGCCACCCGTCGGATTATCCCGATCGCCCTCTCCACCTTTGCCCTCTGTGCAAACATCTCGCTGGTCGGCGCCTCCCGTGCAGCCACCGGCATGTTGGAGGTGTTGGCCACCAGCGTGGTGCGCTGCATGATGTTCTCCTTTGGGACCAGAAGCCAGCACCGCAGCACGCCCAGAGGGGACTAATGATGGGCCTGTTTTCCACCACCACCACCATAAGTTGGAGGGGAGGGTGTCCGCCTCCTCCTCCCCCTCCTCCTCTCCGTCCTTTTTCTCCCCTCCAACTTATGGTGGTGGTGGTGGTGGTGGTGGTGGTGGTGGTGGTGGTGGTGGTGGTGGTGGTGGTGGTGGTGGTGGTGGTGGTGGAAAACAGGCCTATCAACTCACGATCGTTCACCCAGCCCACTTGCAGACAGGGTGAGGCCTCACCTGGGCCCGGCTGTACACGAGCACTGCTGCGCGACGCTTCCCAAAGTGCCAATCCAAAGCCGGACTGCGTATTCCGTATTGCGCCAGCTCAGGAGGTCTGCTAAACCGCGCGTATCCGACGTCGAATGAACTGAACGGTGTCGCCGTTCAATGCCGCGAATGTTGTACAATCGTACGGTATTATTTCGAATTCAGACGCCTATGTAGCCGAACAAAATCTTCCTGGCAAACAATGCGATTATTTGAATACTCTGCGAATTCACAGGGGGGAAACGTCTGCCCGGAATCGGCGATGCAGCAGCGGTGGGCCCTGACGGCGAGTCCGCCCGCTCCTGGCCAGGGTGTCGGGCCCCTACCGGCGACGGGCGGACGAGTGTGGAGTTCGATGCACCCTCGCCCTGAGCATGCCGCCCCCCTCTCGTAGCCCCTGGCGTCCCCCATCCACTCCAGCTGATGTACAAAATCCTGCGCCTTTGACTTGCGATTGCTGTGGAAGCCTTCCGCGCCCCCAACTGAATCCTGGCGGGCTGCGCCGCGATGTGTCCATCGGTCGGCTGGCCGAAATTCTGCGCCCCGCTGGCGATGCCAACCAACATTGAATCGGTGGCAAAGGGGCGCATTGAAGTTGGCCCCAGCATCCGGCTCGCGCGGGTGGTGCAGGATTTCGTCCATCAACCGTTCGGCAGGTTCAGCCTGCGAATGACTATTAGCGCTGGCAGCTGAGATTTGACGATGTTTCGCCCTCAAGACGCCCTGCTGCTTTGGGCGCTGGAACGTGCTGCTCCGCCTGGCGCGGCGATGGCCTCAACCTCGAGTGGAGAAACTGGCTAATGCAGGGACGTGCCAGACAGTTGCTCCCTCCATCCCTGTTCCCCCTCCCCCCCCCGCTCCCCTCCCTCAGATCGGGCAGGACCCCCTTTGGGGTGGAGAGGCGACATTAGGGCCCGCGGCAGGGGGAGGCCTCCGCGCCCAGCAGAGGGGGGCCCTGGGAGCCCAAAGCGGCGAACAAAAACTCCCAGACAGACTCCCTCGCGTCCTCCTTCCCGCCCCCCCTCCTCGGCGGCAGGCTCTCGTGGCGACCCTGGCACTGGTTTTTGGCATCGCGTAAACCGTTCAAACCTTCACGATCGGCGACTTCTCGATCGCCAAGTCGTGCCGTATTGGCCAATACCCGGAGAGTTCCAAAGAGGGTTTTTTGGGGAGGGGGCTTTCCAGAGAGCCCCCCAGGGGGCCTCGGAACCCCGTCAAAACACTGGGTGCGAAGCCCCTGGGGGACCCCATCCTGGAAAACCCCCTCCCCGACCCTGGGGGACCCCTCCTGGGGGACCCCCCCTGGAAAAAAACCCTGGGGGACCCCCTCCTGGGGACCCCCCCCTGGAAAAAAACCCTGGGGGACCCCCCCTGGGGGACCCCTCCTGGAGAACCCCGTCTCCGAAAACCCCCGTTGGCACCCTCCCCGGCATGCTGGGCCGCCGCCGGCGCACCCAGAACGCCCGCGCTGGGGTCGCGGCCGCGTCGACACGACTCGCACCCTGCAAGCCTGCCACACCGCCGGGGAGGGCATACCGTCGGAGTGGAAGACCCCTGGCCAAACTGCCACGTCTGCGAGCGGCCCGCCATGGTTCGCCATGTCCTCTTCCTCCTCCTCATTCTCCTGCTTCTCCTCCTCCTAGTCCCCTTCTCCTCCTCCTCCTCCTCCTCCCCTCTCCTCCTCCTCCTCCTCCTCCTCCTCCTCCTCCTCCTCCTCCTCCTCCTCCTCCTCCTCCTCCTCCTCCTCCTCCTCCTCCTCCTCCTCCTCCTCCTCCTCCTCCTCCTCCTCCTCCTCCTCCTCCTCCTCCTCCTCCTCCTCCTCCTCCTCCTCCTCCTCCTGCTCTCCTCCCCCTCCTCCTCCTCCTCCTCCTCCTCCTCCTCCTCCTCCTCCTCCTCCTCTCCTCCTCCTCCTCCTCCTGCTCCTCCTCCTCCTCTCCTCCTCCCTCCTCCTCCTCCTCCTCCTCCTCCTCCTCCTCCTCCTCCTCCTCCTCTCCTCCTCCTCCTCCTCCTCCTCCTCCTCCTCCTCCTCCTCCTCCTCCTCCTCCTCCTCCTCCCTCCTCCTGCTCCCTGCTCCTGCTCCTCTCCTGCTCCTCCTCCTCCTCCTCCTCCCTCCTCCTCCTCCTCCCTCCTCCTCCTCCTCCTCCTCCTCCTCCTCTCCTCCTCCTCCTCCTCCTCCTCCTCCTCCTCCTCCTCCTCCTCCTCCTCCTCCTCCTCCTCCTCCTCCTCCTCCTCCTCCTCCTCCTCCTCCTCCTCCTCCTCCTCCTCCTCCTCCTCCTCCTCCTCCTCCTCCTCCTCCTCCTCCTCCTCCTCCTCCTCGTCACGGTCACCGCCTGGAAATGCCGGTGGGGGGCGCCCATCGCTAGGGCCGCTAGGGGCGTAACCCCAGCTGGCAGCAAGGGCCCGCCCTGGCTGGCAGCCCCACGGTCGCAGTTTCGTGGGCGGCCTCCCCTCGTGGGGCAGTCCCTCCAGGGGTCAGGAAGAGGCTTCGCACTGGAGGGGCGAGGCCCCGGCCCCTGCGCATGAGTGCGGGGGGGGGGGCTCTGCCGCGCACCCTCCTCCTTGCCGTCGATCATGGTGGTCAGCTCGGGGAAGTCGCTGAGCACCTGCGGCGCAGACCGCTCGCGCTCCGCGCGGGGCGCGGAAGGCTCGCGAGGCGCGCGACCCTCCCGTGGTGCCAGCGTGCCGCCCGCCCTGGAGCAGGGCAGCTCTTCGTCGGCATCGGGCCGCGGAGCACGAGGCACCGGCTGCCCTTTGAGCGCGGAAACGTCGGTGCCGACCCCTCGCCATCGCTCGGACGTCCATTCCCTGTGCTTTTTGCGGTTTCGTGCGTAGTTCTCGCCAAATGATCAAGGATGCTCCTCGATGGTCCTCGCCGAAGGAAAAATGCACACGTCCGAGCGATGCCAGAACCCTGGTCATCGTCCATCTTTGGTCACCGTCGATTCGTGGATCATCCTCCCGAATTGGCGGCGGCCACCATGGACCGTGACCAAGATCGGCGTCGACAAGATCCCGCGACATCGTCCCAGACATCCAGCTGCTCCAATTTTTTCGATGCGTGGGCCCCGGAGATCCAGACCACTTCCCTAGGGCCGGTTTTTCGTCCTGAGTCGCTTCGTGACGCTGCCGAAGCCTGGCCAGGGATTCCGGAGGCCGCAAACAGCCGAAAACCGCCCGCTCAATTATTTTCGGAACGTCGGATCCCTGAATTGGTCATGGTCATCGTGTTTCTTCCCTCGAGCCCATGCGAGGGTTGCCCTGGGTCTTTGGCCCAAGGTGCCCCCCCAGCGTTCCGCGCCACTCTGGGCGCTCGCGAGGAGCTCGCGATGGGTGTTTTCTATGGAGGCCGCCTGGGCCTCCCTGGAGATCCTGGGGACGCCTTGGTTCAGGGGCATTTCCTCCTGATCCTCCTCATCCTCCTCCTCCTCCTCCTCCTCCTCCTCCTCCTCCTGCTCGTCCTCCTCGTCCTCCTCGTCCTCCTCCTCCTCCTCCTCCTCCTCCTCCTCCTCCTCCTCCTCCTCCTCCTCCTCCTCCTCCTCATCTTCATCCTCATCCTCATCCTCATCATCCTCATCCTCATCCTCCTCCTCCTCTTCCTCCTCCTCCATTTTTTCCACGTAAATAACTCCTCCCTGTCGCACCCCGAGGCTGGTCGAAATGGCGGGCCGGGCATTTTTCCTGAGACTTCTTTACCATTTATGACCCTGAAGCTTACCAACTGACAATAGGTTCACAGATTGAGGGCGGGTGCCTTTCAAAATGTGGCTATCGTCTCAGCGCCATGCACAGATGCGCTCAAACACGCAAAAGTTCCACCGTGAGGGCGGGTCGTTTTCAAAATGTGGTTCTCGCTGTAGCGCCGCGAACACTCGTTGCAAAACTTGCAAGAGCTTCACAGATTGAGGGCGGTGGTTTTCGCCACGCATATTCGTTTTACAAAAATCTTATGAATTTCATGGATTCAGGGCAGGTCGTTTTCAAAATGTGGCCCTCGCCTCAACGCCGCGCGCAGTCGTCTTACAGAACGTGTAAAAGCTTCACGGATGGAGGGCGACTCGTTTTCAAAATGTGGTTTTCGCCTGAGCGCCGCGCACACTCGTCTTAAAAAGTTGCACGTGTTTCACGGAGCCCCCCGGCTAACGTATCAGAACTGGCGTTCTGGAAAAACTCAGGACTGCCAGAGCGCAGCGGTTACGCTTGCTGTCCCGGAAATACTGCTTCGGCACGCCTCGAGATACTCAAACGCTTGCCTCCAAACGCAGTACTTCCTTCAGCGGGAACAGACTGTCGGGGCCAACGAAGATAGAGCACGGGGCAAGGGTTGATTCCAGCATAGATGATGTCTGTAGGGTTTACACTGGTCCTCCTCCTCCTCCTCCTCCTCATCATCATCATCAGCATCATCATCAGCATCATCATCATCATCGGCATCATCGGCATCATCATCATCGTCATCATCATCATCAGCAGCATCACCATCATCACCATCATCACTTCATCACTTCATCACTTCATCATCATCATCATCATCATCATCAGCAGCATCACCAGCATCATCAGCATCATCATCATCATCAACCTCTCAGGTTCGGCAATAGCGACTACAGGCGGTCCACCGCCAGATCGGGCGAAGAAATTCAAACCCAAAAAAACTTCAAGCAATCTCTCAGCCAAAAGCCGCGGAAACCTTTTTTTTTCAACAACAAACACCAGAAAAATCTAAGCCAAAACCTGCGGGAATCTCAAGCTCAAAAAATACACAACCAATCTCTAACTTATAACTTACGGATATCTACCCCCCCCCCAAAAAAAAAAAAAAAAAAAAAACTCTACGCCAAAGCCCGCGAATATCTCAATGCCTGAAAAAATCACATACATCTAAGCCGAAACCTGGGGAAATCTCAAACTCTTTGAAAAACTTTAACAGATCTCTAAGCGAAAACATGCAGAAATGTCAAACTCTAAGAAAACTTCCAATAACAAAACAGAAACCTGCGAATAACTCAAAAATAATTAAACTGGATTTGAATGCAGAGTTGTTGTCCGTAGTTTCTCCAAGGAGTTGTTTGACGTCGCCAGGCGGTAAGAAATTGGTTTGGAGTTTTTCAGTTTCCCCAGAGTTGTTTTAAAGTTTCCCCAGAGTTGTCTTCTCCTCCTCCTCCTCCTCCTCCTCCTCCTTCTCCTCCTCCTCCTCCTCCTCCTCCTGCTCCTCCTCCTCCCGCGGGCGCCGCAGCCGGGTCTGTGCCGGCCCCCGCGCTTGCGCCCGCGCTGAGTTTCGCCAGCGTCTCGTCGAACCGGTAGCCGCCCCCCAGGTCCTCGCAGCCGCGCCGGCTCAGCTGGCAAGCGCGGCAGCCACGGCCGCGCGCTCGCCGGGCAAGGCCTTCTCCGCGCTCAGCGCGGTCTGGTGCTGGCGAGCCGTCGCGGCCTGCAAGGCCACCGCGAGTCCCGCGCCCCGGCGGCGCGCGAGGACGCTGGCCGCCGCGGCGGCCGCGGCAGGATCGCCGCCGGCAAGCAGCCGCGCGCGGTCCCGCGCCAGCCAACGCAGGCGCAGCAGGGCGGCCGGGCCGCGGCGGCCGCCCGTCGCGAGCGCGAGCGGCGCCATCGGCCAGGGCGCGCGCCCAGCGGGATACCGAGCGCGCTCGTCGGCCTCGGCGCCCCTATCGACGGCGCCGCCCCGGGCCGCGGCAGCTCGCAGCCCCTCGGCGGCACCCGGCGCGCCGTAGCAAACGGGGATCGTCGACGTCTATCAAGACTCAAAGGCAGCCAGCGCGCGAGATCCCCAAGTCGAGGACGGCCTCCTCGCGCCAGGCCGTCAGCGGGGCGCCGCGGCGCGCGCGGGCCGCGACCGCCGCCGGCCGCGCCGCCGCCGCGCCGCCGGCATCGCAGCCCGCGCCGGCGGCCCCACGCCGGCACGGGCGTCTGGCGCGCCACCCGGTAGCCCCACTCGGCGTGGACGTGCTCCCACGCCGATTCGAGGTCGCCGCCGCGCACCTCGAGGCCCCCTCCGCGCGAGCACCGCCAGGCGCGGTCGGCCTGGGAGCAGAGCAGCTCTCCGCTGCGCAGGCCGACTCGCTCCCTGCTGCGGGCGCAGTTCGAGCAGGCGGCGCCGGGCGGGGCCGCGCCCTGGCGGAACAGGCAGCGCGTCGCGGAGCGGCAAGCGGCGCCTTCGAGCCGCCGGCGGGGCTCGCCGGGCGAGGCGGGCTGCCGGCCTGCTTCGCGGGGGCCGCCGCGGGAGCGGAGCAGCGCCCTGATGTCTTTTCCAGAGCCCGAGGAGCTCAGCAAGGAAATGTAAGGTTTCTAATCCATCCTTGCCGCGGGCGTCCTCCGGAGTTTCTGCCGAGGCTCGGCGGCGAGCTCAGCCCAGCTAGGTGGGCAGCACGAGGCGGCGGCGGCGGCGGAAGTGCCGCGAGCTCGGCGAGGCGGCTCCGGCATGCGGCGGCGAACGGCTGAGGGCTCGCGGGCCACCCCGGCCAGCTCCCGCAGAGCCCCCAGGCTCTGCGCCCAGGTGGCCGCCCAGGCCGCCAGGGCCAGCTCCTCCTGGCCGCGGAGTCCGCGGCCGCCCAAGCGCAGCGGGAGTCGGCAGCGCTGCTGCTGCTGCTGCTGCGGCGTCAGAGGGTCCAGCAGGCGCCCGAGCTCCTCGCGAGCGGCCAGGAGAGCGGCGCCGCAGGCCGCCGCCGCCGCCGGCCGTGCCTGCTCGAGAGGCGTCGTGCGCAGCGCGCGCGTCAGCTTGCCAGCCCCGCAGCGCCGCAGGATTCAGGCCGCCGTCTGCGCCGCGGGCAGGCGCGGGGGCGCCAGCGAGGGCAGTTCGGCCACCTTCGCCGGCGGCCCGCGTCGCGGCGTCCTCTGCGCTCTCCGTCGCGTAGTCAGCTGCGCCTTAAGTCCGCCCGGCGCCCCTCACCCGGGCCGTCCGGGCTCGGGAGCTCCCGCGGTTGCGGCTGCTCGGAGGGCGGGGCCCCGACCAGCGCCAGGCCTCGCGCTTGCCAGTGCGCCTCCAATCTGGGCGAGCGCGCGGCCCGAGGTGACCAGGCCTGCGTTTTGCCCGGCTGCAGATCCAGCCCCAGCAGGGCAAGCGCGGCCAGCGCCGCCAGCAGCACCTCCGCAGCCAGCTCAGGCGGCGCGAGGACTACCAAGTCGTCGAGGCAAGCAAATACGTGGACTTCGCCCGGCGGGGGCCTCCGGGCCCCTGCCCGCCAGCGCAGCTCCTCCTCCAGCGCGCGCAGGCGGGGGCGCAGGCCACAGGCGAAGATGAGAGGCGAGTCGCCCTGGTCTCAGCCGTCAGTGGCGCGCAAGCTGCGGCAATCCCCCTTGCTGTCCCAGAAGAAGAACGGCGAGCGACGCCTCCAGAACAACTCTGCGAAGGGGAGGAGGGAGGGATCCACCTCCTCCAGCTCCCGCAGGCAATCGGCCCTGCACGCGGTGCAGAATACGTTGTTCGCGTCCGGGGCCGTGACCACAAAGTGCGGCGAAACTTCCAGCAAAGCGAGCACCGCCAGAAGTTCTGTCCCGGCGGCCGTGCCGATTGCGAACTGCTGTCTTCCGAGCGCGCCCGCCAGGTGGCCCCGTCGCGCGGTGGCCAGCGCTCGGCCCACCAGGCGCCGCAGGATGTTCGGCTCCGCGATGGGCCGAACGCCGCGCTCGCCCTTCCGGAGCGGCGTGAGTTTCGAGGTAGCCAAAGCGGCGGCGGCGCTCTCGGGGACGCGCCCCCATGCCAAGCGGTCGCAGACGCCGCAGGAGGCAGCCAGCGCCCCGGAGTCAGGGAGCACCACCCGCCAGTGCTCGAACCTGCCGCCGCCGACGGCGGCCCCGCTCCCCTGTGGGCTGGCTTGGAGCCCCTTCTTCAGCCGCCCGTAAGACGAGGGGCGCGTCGTCGAGCTGCCGGGCCGGCGGCGGCGCCCGGGAGGGGGCGCCCCGCGGTTACAGGAGGCCCTGGGGCTTCTGCCCGGTCTCCAGCGTCATCGGGGCCAGCCCTGGGCTGCTCAGGAGCGCAGCTGCTCGGGAACCTCGTCGGCCAAGACGCCGGCGTCGCGGTCCGGGCAGCGCCCCTCGCGCCGGGCCTGCGCCAGCGCCCGGCCCGTTTTCTTCCTCCTCCTCCCCCTCCTCCTTCTCCTCCTACATTCCTATTCCTGATGGATAACTCCTCCCTGTCGCACCCCGAGGCCGGTCGAAACGGCGGGCCAGGCGGTCCGCCTGGGGCGTACTCACCACTGATGACCCTCAAGCTTCAAAACTGACAGCAGTTTCACAGACGGCTCGGGTCGCTTGCACAATGTGGTTCTGGCCTTAAAGCCGCGCACATTCGTGCTCTAAATTGCAAGAGTTCCACAAATTGAGGGTGAGTGGCTTTCAAAATGTGGTTGCCGCCTTAGCGCGCGTGCACTCGTCTTAAAAACCTGCAAGAGCTTCACAGATTGAGGGCGGGTGGTTTTCGCCACGCACGCTCGCTTTACCAAATTCTTGAAGATCTCACGGATTGAGGGCGGCTCGTTTTCAAAATGTGGCTCTCGCCTTAGCGCCGAGCACATTCGTCTTAAACAACCGCAATAGTTCCACACACTGTGGGCGGCTCGCGCTCAGCATGTGGCTCTCGCCTTAGCGCCGCGCACATTCGTTTTGAAGTGTGTCAAGAGTCTCACAGATGGAGGGCGATTCCTTTTCAAAATGTGACCCTCGCACTGGCGCCGCGCACATTCACTCTCAATATTTGCAAGAGTTTCACTGGTTTTCATGGTTCACTTACCAGACACGGCGTTTTGGAGGGATGTAGGATTGCAAGGGCGCAGCAGTTACGGTTATTCGCGGTGTTGAAATCGCTGGAATGGTGTTCTGGCACGATTCAGGATCGTCAAGACGGAACAGGTTATCTCGTGGCGTTGGAGTCCTGAGAATGGTGTTCTGGCACGCTTCAAGATGTTCACACGGTTGTCCCCTAACGGGGCAATTCCCTGTGGGAATGACCCTTTGCCGAAGCCTATAAAAAGGGATTTTGGGGGAGAGGCAACATCGCTGATGAGTCCCAGGTTTGCACTGGTCCTCATCCTCCTCCTTCTTCTCCTCCTACTCCTCCTCCTTCTCCTCCTCCTCTTCCTCATCCCCCCCCGGCATCACCCCACATCGTAATATTTCTGCGGCGCTAGCCTCAGGAACAATCCACCCCATCCCAGGGGCTGGTCTGCAGTCCCCAGGCCGTTCTGGGATGTTCCGCGCACGCAGCATCATCATCCACCAAGTCTGAGGTTTCGTAGTACGTGAAAATGCACCGTATCACAGCGAATGATTGCCACTGCGGTGCTGCCGCAGTGCTGCCCGTCACTTTCATCACTGCTGGTTTCAGCATTCGCATCACCTCACAGTGATCCTGAGCGGAATGGCTCGGCTTCTCTTCAATCTGCTCTTGTCGAACTGTCACCCCTCTCTCTCTCTCCCTCTCTCTGTCCCTCCGTTTCTCTACCTCTCTCACTCTCACTCTCTCTCTCTCACACTCTATCTCTTTCTCGGTCCATCGCATCGTCTCAAACCATGGGTAGCAGTAACTACCCCAAGCAGCGTGCCCCGAGTGCTCGTCGAGCCCCGTGCCCGCACTGGCCAGATCTACACGCTTGGCTGCGCGCCTCGGCCATCTCGTTGCCACGCTCGCCGCAGCCGACATACACCACGACGTCGGAGTTCGAGTACTTGGAGAGGGCCTCCGTGCGCGCGGAGCGAGCTGGGGCAGAAATCGAGTAGGGGATCGTCTGCAGAATTGATTTACCCCAAAATTCACATGTTCGCCGAATTCATGAGGAACGCGTAGGATGTCCGCAGATCTACAGACATTCTACGTATGACCCGACGAGAGAAAGGAGTTCTCTGGTGAATCAATTATGTAGTCGATCCCCTACTCGACCTGGGGCAGAAAGAGCTGAACCCCCGCGAGGGTGGGCGAAGGGGAGACCGGGGCCGCAGTTCTTAGCCGACCATCCTCAGGTAAGACGAAGCCAGGACGAGGAGAAAATCGGGCGATGCTAAAATCTAAAACCTCTGGATCTGGCGGCTCTGGAGGAAGCCTCGGGCGCCGCGGCCTTCTCAGAGCGTTCCGACACGCTCTGGGATCGTTCCGTTCCAAAACGCTCTGGACGGATTTCTCCTCGTCTGACGATCGAACAACACGCACCCGTACCCATAGGGGGACGGAGGAGGCTGTGGGTGCGTGTTGTCGGATGGGGGTCCCCGCTCGAACGAGAGCTTCCCCCAGGGTCCGACAACTCGCACCCATACCCATAGCCAGTTCCCCTCCTTTCGACCCTCCTATGGGTATGGGTGTGAGTTGTTCGCTCGTCATCGTCCTGGCCCCGTCCGATAGGGGGGCCAGAGGCAGTCTAGGGGGAGCCCCCACCCCCACCCCGGACTCAGAGGGGCTGAGTGCGTTTTCACCGGCCAGACAATCCCACCAGCCCTCTGGGCGTAAGTGATTGAGGGCGTCTCCGCTTCCATCTTCCAGATTCCCTTTCGAGGAGGACTTTTGCCTCCCCCCTACCCCCCTACCCTGGACCTGGACGTGGCGCCCCGCGAGGTGTCAGAGAGTTCGGGGGGCCCCAGGTGGCTCCGAGAGGGCCGCAGAAAGGCCCAAGATGACCTCCAGGACGGCTCCAAGAGATCCGAAGATGGCTCAAGAGGGCTGCCAACACTCCAAGACCGTTCCAAGACGGCTCCAAGTGGCCACGGAAGCTGCCGGAAAGTCTAAATCCTTTTGGAAAAATTGGAGCATCCGTGTGTGGTTCATTTCTCGAGTTTTCGCATCCGACGGCCATTCGAGGCCTCAAGATGACTCCAAGAAGACCCAAAAGAGCCCCAAGACGGCCACAAGAGCGCCAAAGAGAACGCCAAGAGCGCTCCGAAAAGCGATGTCAAGGGCTCCAGAGAGGCGAACCTAATGAAGGACCCCCCCTTCTATGATCGATGTCATCCAGGATGGCCCCAAGATGGCCCCCAAGGCTGCTAAAAGTGCCCCAAGGGGGCTCCAAGAGGCGCCCAGAAGGCCCCACGAGGCCCCCAAGAGGTCTCCAAGCGACTCCCAAAGGACCCCAAAAAGGCTCTGAAAATCTATCCGGAGGCACCCAGGATGCTCCAAGAGGCCCCCAAAACACCCCAAGAGGCCCCCAAGACACCCCAAGAAGCGTCCCGGCAGGGGGTCCCAGCGGGGGGTCCCGGGAGGGGGTCCCCCGGAGGGGGGGGGTCAGATACCCATCCCCCCCTGGGGGTCCCGGGGCTGCAAAAAGTAGCAAAATAAGCCAAGAGCACCCCAAGAGGCCCCCGAGACGGTCCAAGAGGGCCCCGAATCGCCAAACGATGGGTCCAAAATGCAGTCACGCTCCCAGACTGTCCAGGAGACCTCCGAAACGCCCCAAGAGGCCTCCAAAGGCACTCCCGAGAGGGCCCCATGAGGCAAAAATCATTGATTTGCCAAATGTTTTTGCAGATTTGTGCGTTCTCGCCTTTTCCGCTTCCCGCCGCTCCACGACGGCGGAAGAGGCCCTCAAGATCGCCCCAAGACGGCCCAACAGGCGTCCGAGAGCGCCCCAAGACATCCTAAGAGAACCCCAAGACAGCCCAAAACGCCTACACGACGGTCCAAGAGGGCCCCCAAGGCGGCTCCAAGAGCGTGCCTTGACGGGGAAACCGAACGGACATTTCGAGCTCTCGGCCCCGAGAAGTTCCCACGAGGCCCCAAGAGGTTCCCACCCGAAAACGCCCCCAAGAGGCCCCGAAGAGGCTCCCAAGAGACCCAAAAATTTCCCCCCAGAGGCCCCCCAGACCCTTGCCAAGAGACCCCCAGAAGCATCCCTTAGGACTCGGGCCCACGTCAGCGTCCGTCGACGTCGTCGCCGCCAACGCCGCCGCTGTCGTCGTCGACGTCCCCCTTCACGGCCGGCGGCACTGGCCGTAAGGCCTTCGCAATCATTGATTTGTCATAGGTGTTTGAAGGATTTGGGAGTTCTCGCCGTTCTGGCTTTCCGACGCTCCAAGACGGCCCAAGAGGGCCCCAAGACCACCCCAAAACGGCCCAAGAGGCCTCCAAGAGGGCCCCAAGACGGCCTAGTAAGAGCGCCCCAAGGCGGCCCCAAAAGGGGCCCAAGAGAGGGAACACGAACCGAAAATCCGAGCCTTCCGCCCCAAGAGGCCCCCAGGAGGCCCCAAGAGGCGCCCAGGAGGCCCCAAGAGACCAGCAAGAGGCCCCCCAAGAGGCCCCCCAAAAAGGCCCCCGAGGGGCCCCAGAAGCCGAAGAGGCCCCAAAGGCGGCCCACAAGAGGTCTCCAAACTGCCTCCAAGGTCCTACAGAGGCCTCCCACCAAATCCCAACGAACATCCCATAGCCCTTCAGACCCACAGAGCCCGGGCACGGTGGCGGGAAGCGCCGGGCGGCCAGCCGAGGGGCGGCGCCGAGGCCGCGCCGAGAAGCTCAGGAAGAAGGAGACGGGTCCCGTTCGGCGGCGACGATAAGGGCGAATAGGCCAGGGGCGGGCATTACACGCATTCGCCCGGGAGCCTTGTCGAAGACATAGATCATCGGCGCCCCTGGATACATGTACTGCTCTCCGCTGGGCTGTTCGCCCCTATCGTCGCCTCCGACCTGTGGAAAACGGGCCCCTGAACCCCAGGGGCCTTCCCCCAGGACCAGTTCTTCATCTCGAGTCATTTACGTCTATCACGGGGCCCGTGGAGGGCCCCGAGAGCCCAAAAACAGCAAAAAAGAACACAGAACCCGTTGACCTCAGGACCAGTTTCCTTCACGTGGAGCACCCCCTCATTCATCGCCCCCCCATTACGCAACGCCCGAGCGCGCATACGCCGGGGCGGCCCGGGAGGCTCGCCTGGGAGATGACGGTCTTGCCGCAGCCGAACGCGCCCGGGACAGCCGCAGTGCCGCCCTGCCCGGCGGCCACCGAGCTCTCGGCGTCGCCGCCAGCGTCGTCGTCGACGCCGTCGTCGGTGTCGGCGCCATCGGTTTCCTCATCTCGCAAATTATTAATACTTAAGGGACCCCTACCCCTCTGGAAGCGGACCTAAGTTCAGAGCCCCAACTCATTAGGGACAGGGAGCTTTTTTTTTGTCAGCAGATGTACGAAACAAAACCACCCAGCTCGATTATCCCTAGTGCAAAGATGGGGACCTAAGGTAGGCTGCGTCTTCTTTGGGGGTTATTTGATTCTCGATGAGAAGAGGTCGGCGGTCCTTTTCGGGCAGTTTCGTCGGTTCTCAGCGGTCTTTCAGCCTCGAGATCGTCCCCAACGGCCACCAGAGACCCGAGCTGTGACCCGAAAACCAAAACCTCCTCGCTCGGCGGCGCGGCGAGGGGGGAAGTGAGAGGGAGCGGAACTTCTCAGAAGGCGGCGGGGCTTCTCAGAAGCCCTCTGGCCTTCTCAAGAGCCCTCCGTGGCTTCGGGTCTGGACTCCCGAAATGGATGCGGAAACAAAAATTGGCACGATGTCTAACAACAAATATGTTTCAAAACCGACAGCGGCCGCTGTTGGGCAGGCGGCCTGCTATCTCAAGTGGACGCAATCCGCGGCGACACCGACAGCAGCGAACCCTGTTCAAAATTAACAGGAACTGCTGGTGGGAATCATACCCATCCTTTCTGTACCCAGTTCCATCGTCCCGATTCGGGGAAGGCTCAGAAAGCTGCTCAGAAGACCAGAGGCCTTCTGGGCCTTCTGGGAGTGCCCGCCCCCATCTGCTTTCCCCCCCGGGGTCCTGGGCGCGCCGCCGATGATCCCCTGACGTCCCTGAGTGTGTGTGTGTGCGAAAAATTGCTTCGCCCAGATCCAGACCAGGGCTCGAGCCCAACAGTGCTTTTCTTTCTCGCTTGTCTTCGGCACCCTGCATTATGCTTTCGTTCTGCCTCTGCGGCGAGACGAAATCAGAACGAGAACGGTCCACGAAAGCGCCAGCACACCGCTTAGCTCGAGCCACTGATCCAGACATGAGACCGTCCCTCACGGATCCATCCGGCCACAAAAATCAGCGGCGAGAAGAAGAATGCCTTCTCAGAGGGCGGCGGGACTTCTCAGAAGCCCTCGCGCCTTCTGATGAATGTTCGGTGTATTCGGGGAAGGCTTAGAAAACTTCTCAGAAGGCCGAGGAACTTCCGAACCTTCTGAGAAGCCCCGCCCCTTCTCACTTCTGCCCCGCGCTGGCCGCCGAAAAAAGACCAGCGTGAGATCGGGATCGAGGGCTCTGGTCGTGGCTCTGTCCCACAGGGCGGTGCTCGCGCTGAGGGGCTACTTACGTCAGCTCGACGACCTTGAAGGGGCCCTGGGACACACAAGTAAATACACACAAATAAGAAGATTCCCCATAGTTTCCCCATATTTTCTGGGTTCCTGTCTTCCCCCCCGCTTCCCATATTTTCGCATATGTTCTGGGAATCGACGACTAATGGTGTTTGTGTGTGTTTTCCCCTCCTGAGACCTGGGGTGGAGGGCCGCACAGAGGACTCGACACGGTGCCGCCCGTCGCCTCCTCGGGGGGGTACCAGCGGGAACAAGCAGGCAGCAGGAACTTCCCAAGGAGCAGTTGGCGCCGCCAGGACGCGGCGCGAACTGCTCCCCCCCAATAGGGGGCCAGGTGCGAACCCTACACCTACCCCCCCCTCAGAAATCGTGGGGGGTAGGGGTAGGGTTCGCATCTGGCCCCCTACCCGAACTCCAGCTTCGAAATCTCGCCTGCTCGGGCGCCGGAGAAGGGGTCCAGCCCCGCTGGTGCCAACTCCTGCGTGGAACGCTCGTGCTGACTGCTGTCTCGCAAGGGCTAGGAGGGTCTAACCCTGGGCGTCCTAACTACTATCGTCGGTCGTCGTCGTCGTCGTCGCACTCCCTCTCTCCCTCTCTCTCTATCTCTCTTCCTCTCCATCTCGTTTCTGGTGCCTGCCGGGGGAGAGAGTTGGGGGAGGCGGATGAGCAGCAGTAGCAGCGGTAGCAGGCTGTGCTATCAGCATCCCCCTCCACCCCCTTCCTCTGGCTGGGTGTGCTGGGTGTGCCATCTACTCTGTCTACCCCCCTCCCCCCTCCTTTGGCTGGCGTTCGCCTCCCCCACGAGCAAAGCAAGGGCCACGATCCCTCGTAAATTGCGCTGCGTCCGCGCTCCCAGGGCCACGATCCCTTTTAAATTACACGGGATTCACGCTCCCAGGGCCACGATCCCTCGTAAATCATGCTGTGTCCGCGCCCCCTGGAGCAGGATCCATCGTAGAATCACATACGAAACGGATCCAGCAACGCGCCAGAAAGCCCAGACGTCTCGACCAACAATCGAGATTCTCTAACCGTACGCGCATTTGACACGTCAAATTTCGAATTGTAATTTCAGAAAGGGTTCCCGTCATCGGCGTTTTCATCCGAACACACACCTGTGCCGGCAGCTTCCCAGCCACACGTCTCCCAGGCATCCTGGCATGGGTAAGCATAGTACTTAACTGCTTGTTCCCGTTCACGCGTCGAGGATTTGCCACGCTGCCGCCCACTGCCGCCAGCTGCCGCCTCAGAGGCGAGGTCGAGGACTCGACGCTGCCGCCCGTTGCGGCCCGTTGCCGCCCGCGGCCGCCTCGCTGTCGCTACACCACGCGGCCCACACCTCGGACACGCAACGGCTCACCGTTGGGGGCCCACGCTGGCAGACACTCCTGGAGGACGGGCCGCACAGTCGAGGGCGCGGCCAGGAAGTCGCTCCCGCCCTCTCGCCGCGCACCGTCGTCCTACAGAGCTGCAGGTGCTCCGCGGGCCGAGGGCGGGCCGTGTTTCTAAACGTGGCCCCGGCGTTAGCACCGCGCACGTCCGTCTTCAAAAGATGCACGGGCTTCACGGATGGAGGGCGTCTCCTCCCCAAGATGTGGCTATCGCCCTAGCGCCGCGCACATTCGTCTTCAGAAGCTACAAGAACTTCACGGACGCAGGACGATTCCTTTCAAAAATGTGGCGCTCGCCCCGGTGCCGCACAGATTCGTTTCAAGACTTCACAGCAGTTTCAAGGATCCTCATGTCGAACTGCCAGGGCGCAAAAGTTACGTTGATTCGGGGTGTATGGGTTCTGACAAGGTTCAGGATCGTCAAGACGCAACAGGAAGGGTGATTCGCGGCGTTGAAGTTCCAAGAATGATGTCCTGGCACAGTTCAAGATTTTCTTTCAACGGGGCACTTCCCTCCGTGAACATGAACCTTTGCAGTGGCCCATCAGGAGGAGAAAATTTGGGAGGCTGGATGGCAGTGTCGTTGAGGAGTCTTGGGTTTACACTGGTCTTCATATCACCCCATTCCTGCAGATCATCATCACCACCACCATCATCATCAGCATCATCATCCTCATCCTCATCCACGTCATCATCAGCAGCATCATGACGATCATCATCGTCATCATAATTCTCAACATCCTCCTCGGTGTCGTCGTCCTCATCTGCATCATCAGCAGCAAGTTCATCACAATCCTCATCATCACCATCATCAACATCATCAGCATCATCACGTTCATCAGCATCCTCATCCCCATCCTCATCAGCATCGTCATCATCACCATCATAGTCGTCGTCATCAACATGCGCGTCACCATCATAGTCCTCGTCATCGTTTTCCTCATCATCCTCGTCATCTGCAGCAGCATCATCGTCGTCGTGTAAAAGTATTAACTATACGCGTAACAAAAACAAAAAGAGCAAATGTAAGAATAAGACTACTAAAGATTAAGAAATCATCATCATCAACAGCATCAATATCATCGTCGTCGTCATCGTCATCAGCATCATAATCATCATCAGCAGCAGCGTCACCATAATCATCATACGCAGCATCAACATCATCATCACCATCATCATCACCACCACCAGTTTCAACATCATCCTCATCATCAGCAGCATCATCACCATTATCATCAGCAGCAGCATCGGTATCGTCATCGTCAGCAGAATCATCCTTATCATCATCAGCACCATCAACATCATGATAACCACCACTACCACCGTAATCACCATCATGATCACCATCGCCATCACCATCACCATCACCATCACCATCAACATCATCATCATCGTCATCATCAGCATCATCATAGTCGTCGTCATCTGCATCATCAGCAGCAGGATCCTCAACATAATCATAACCGCCACCAGTATGCTAGCGACTATCATCATAAGCATTACCGTCATCATCATCAGCAGCAGCATCATCATCATTATCACCACCATCATTACTGTCGTCGTCACCATCATCGGCAGCATCATCATCAGCATAATCATTATCATCATCACCATCATTATCAGCTCCATCATCAGCAGCAGCCATCATCATCAGCATAGGCACCGTGATCGTCATCGTCATCATCGTTATCAGCAGCAAGATCCTCAGCATCAGCATCACCATCACTAACACCAGAATCATCATCATCATCAACAGCATCATCATCGTCAGCAGCCGCATCCTGATCATCGTCATCATCATCGCCATCATCGTCATCAACCTCATCATAACCACCACAACCACCACTATAATCATCATCATAATCCTCATCATCTTCCTCATCCTCATCCCCATCATCATCATCATCATCATCATCATCATCATCATCATCGTCATCGTCATCATCATCAGCGGCAGCAGCAGCCTTCTCTGACCGCGCGCCCTGGCCGCCGCGCAGATCGCACCCGCCTCGTGCGCGCCTCGCACGGCCACGCCCCCGCGGCCGCGCGCGCCCCCGCGAGCGCCGTCTTCGCGAGGCACGCGCTGGCGCAGAGCAGGCGCGCGCCCGTGGGCGACGCGAGCGCTCGAGCGGGCGGCCGGCGAGCGCGCGGCAGCGCGCCGCGGGCCCCGGCGGGCGCGCTGCGCCCCGGGGGCAGCGCGCGGGCGTGCTCGACGAGGGCAGGCCTTGCGTCTCGGGGCCTGG